CCTTCTTCTAAAAATGTTGAAATGTTTCATCCCTAATCTGGCATGATTTTCTTCTCTTCTAAAAATGCAATCTATAGCATCTAAGCAGCTTGTTAACATTTCCTACTCTGCAGTCAATCATCAGCCTAAAATAACCTTCACTTTCACTGTACACATTGCCTTCTCCCCTGCTGCATTCTTTTCCTTGAGCATCATCTTATTTCAGGCAACAAACAGGGTATTTTAAAAGTACCAGCTTTTTAGATAACTTGCAAAACACTTTGGACTGTACAGTCTGCCATTTGTGAGCAACCATAACCTGACTTCAGGGTATACTAACTGAGAGCAGATTATCCAGCAATTAGCTTACGTGATGTACTGTTATTTAACATAATCAGAAACATTAGAATTGAGTGAGAGGCAGAAACGTAACTCAAGACTAAATTAAGGTGATGCAGAACGATTTTTCTCCACAGTGACTTCACTCTGAGAAGCAGAACAACATTCTCTATACAGTCCTATGTGTGGTTTCCAAGTACCATTTTGGGAATGATTTTTTTTCCCTAAAAAAATTCTCTATTACCTTCTTTCCTTCCCTCTGAGCACAGAGTTATGCTAATACTTTCACTGATAACAGTAGAGCCTCCTACTCCACGATTACCATTTACATCATTCACCAAAAGTTCCTTAAGCCTAAAATGCAGGAGCCTGTTCATTTTTGCGTTTGCTTTTCACTTCATTTAATGTTCAGGCTTCACCTATTTGTCTTCAAAAGAGCAAGTCATGTACCCTGTATTATTGGCATGTAGTGGCACAGGACATTTTCCATGAGCAGGGTCATGGCTTAACTCACTATTTGTTCCAGAGGGTAAGACCTACGAACAAGCAGGTCTGTTCATACCTACTCCACCTTAACCTACAAGTCTCGGGCGACAGGAAGGCAGCTGCAGAACGCAGCACATAGCAGTGCTTAAGGGGAGAAGCACTTCACAGCTGCTGTACTGCTATCCAGGAGTGTTTTCATATCAAAAGTACCAATACACTCATAACCAATGCACTCTGTTTTCCTGAAGTTCCAAAGGTCTTTGTTTTGCTGCTATGCCTGAACTGTCCTTCCTTTTCTTCTCCTGGAAAGAAGCAGCCATCAGTTTACTGAAGGTGAATACTAGGCCACCGGTATGTAACAGTGTTTTTACATCTGAAACGTCCCCCAAAACTGGGATGCAGAGAAGTCCCAATGCCCCAACTCTGTCTGAGCCCTTCCCACCATCTTTCACAAAAATGAAGTAGGTCATCAAATGCATTGAAGTATTATTTTGACACCACTTAGCGGGAATTTGTGCCAAAAGAAGAAGAAAAAGAAAGCAAGAACAAGGAACTGTACATTGGTTTCTTTTTTTTTTTTTAATGGGAGGCAAGTCCCAGGAGGCCACATTTATCCTCACAGGTTTTTTGGTCTCCTCCTCTCCCTAAGAACAGGAAGGAGTGTGAAAAACAGCAGAGAACACTCCGGCTGATGAGAGTTAAAGGAGTGGAGGTTAAATTTTAGCCCCAAAAGGTAAACAGAAGGGGGCAGGCTGGCAAAGAAGGGACAAAAATAGAAGAGTGACTAGACTTCACTTGACTGCTATTTCTGGATCAACTATGGAAAGAGATCTGAGAAGGTTTTCTATTTGTAAGGGATAGAGACACCAAAACATAGATGCCTTCTAGAGGGCCACAGTCCGGTACAGCAGTTTTGTTTATGCTTCTACTTTTCTAAATCCCTGCATTCTCACTCTTTGAAAACAGTGCTGTTCAGCCAGAATGCCATGACGTGTCTAAGTGAGTAACCAGATTCGATTTTCTGGAGCAGGACAGCAATGCGTGTGGCATTTCCATCTAACAGGAACAAAGCTGACGGCTCATTGTAAAAGCCTGCAGCAAATCACAATGCCAAGCAGAGTAAACTAAGCCACGTAACACTTTAGGAAAATAACCAAAGCCCTGCAGTATCTCTGAGAGGATGTCTTGTGTTTTCCCACTCTAAAGTGATTAGTGAAATCCTAACTAGTTCCAATTACAGACACAGACCAAAGAAGACAACAGGGACCTCCCAATTACAGTCTGTAGTGCCTGACTGACACATGGCTCTTGGGATGAATGTTTCTGCCTGTTCGAGCCCTTTCCTCTCGAGTACCTCAGTTAAAAATCCTTCCACTGAGTAATTTCTATCCAGATCCTGGCTGTGCTGGCTTTGTTCCCATATAAAAGAAAACCTGCAGGCAGAAAGCAGTGCCATCTGCCAAGTCAGAAGCTGCCTTAATGGGCAAGTTTGGTGTGAAGGGGAACAGACTATTACGCTTTATCTTCAGCAGCAGGAGTGATGTTTTTCCGTTCCCCCAGGAGGTTACAGTGAGCACACTCAGGCCTGAAGTATTTGTCCCCAAATACACATCGATCTCAATGGACACCGCACAAGCAACCTCCAGGAAAAAAAAAAAAAATCCATCCAATATCCTTTTTTTTCTGTTCAACTTGCAATTCAATCTTAACATTTCTCTTTACTTGTCAGACCAGTTGTTTTTTTTCCTCTGACAGCTTCATCAGCCTCCACTTTCTATTCCTGTCAGTGAATGACAATCCTGCCATCACACCTAGGGAGTATAAGCAGTGGCAAGGCAGAAAGGCCAAGGCCCCATTGTCCCTACACACAAGAATTCTGCACTGAAGCCATTTCTGTACCTTTTTTTCTTGTTTCCAAGCTCCTAATCCCTTTTCCATGACTGTTTTGACTGGATGGTTTGCTCTGAAGTCTCATCCGGAGCAGGTTTGGGACTTGTGTGGCCCAGTTCAGGTTTCACGAGAAACAACAAAAAAAACTTCCTCTGAATATTTTTATCCTTGCACGTATCTTCAGGGCTAGGAAAAGATCTTTCAATTCTTGCCAATTAACCAAGCACCGTTTTTATCCTTCCTTGTTGGGTAATCTTCTCATTAGACCATCTTTGGAGAGAACAGCGGATTCTCTCTGGGCTGCTGGCAGTTTTACTTAATTGCATATTTAACTTTTTATTCAGCACTTAAACTCATAACGATGGGAAATACATACGCACGAGCAGCTAAATATTAAATCTGCCATTTAAACTCCCTAGAGAACTCATAAACATCTTCATATTTCTGTCCCTTTCAGAAGAAAAGTGCATGCATTCTGAAGCTGGAGGGACAGAGGATGACAAACACATATATAACCTACTCTCAGTGATATATTAGCCATTATGGACACAACTCCGGTTTGGGAAGTGTAGTGCTTTGGTCCGTAATATATTTTAAAAGTTCTGAAAAAGATCAGCCAGTGTAATCAGTGCTACACAGAAACCGGTATTAGAGAATCGACTATAGTTTCCTCTTTGCCATCAGGCAGAGGATGTTCTGTCAGGGCACAGCAACTCTACCTCTCTTCTCCCCTTCCCCAGATCTGAGCGCTGAATTAAAACAGTATTTTACAGATGCTAGTACCCATAGGAATGTATTTCCTGTTTGATGCCAGAGCTGCAGAATTTGGTCTGCGACACACCTGTTGCCACTGGACTGTGCTCTGGAACAGCAACTTCTGTTTTAAAATGCTTCCGGCCCTTAGGTCTGCAAAACCTTTGAAGTATGAATGGCATACAATCAGCAACAAAGCTGCTGAACTCTTCAGAAACAGCAGAACAGCCTCAGTATTACCTATTACCCTTCATCACACCCTGCTAAGTATAGAAATTAATGTTGATAGCACTTCAGAAGGATCTGATTAATGGATCACCTCAGAGTTGTAAAAACCTGACACTCCCTTATGCAGCCACAAAACCCCAGTACTTCCAGTCTGTTTGCCAAAGCCTCCAGTTTCCCTGTGATAAACTTTGGTGAGTCAGCTATGTGAAACTAATACAAAAAAAAACAGTGGGATAAAAAAAATGAGTGTTGGATACCTGAATTAATCAGCATGTTATTGTATTATAAGATTTTCCAGTTCCTCTGTTAAAAAAACTTTTCAATACCCAAAGCTACCAGGTATTTCCAGCCTGTTCTGTCAACGCGCAGAGGCTTCACTGGGGAAGGCAGTTCTAGCTTGGTGCGACCACAGCCAGACCTCCAGCAGATTTGCCACGCTGTCAGCAAACAGGGAGCCTGAGGTTTAAGAAAAGAAAGGGTACCTGAAAGCCTTCTAGACATCCCAACTCAGCAGATTAACACCAGCAAGGACTTGGTAAAGTTCTTAAGTAACTTTCATGACCATTACTTCAGCTGGTTTTCAGTCTTACCACACAGAACCATCCTGGTTCTCACTGCAGCTGGGGTTTGTTTCTAACGGTGTGTTTAAAAGCATCAGGGAAATCTTCAAGTTTAAAAGCTGCAGAGCAAAAGGCAGGCAAGCTTTATGTTCTCTAATTAATGGTTATTGCTCCATCTATTTAAGTAGCACTTATCACCATAAATATCCACTAAACTTACTTGCCAATACTGCTGTAATCAGTGCTTTCCCAGGTAATACCCTTCTGTAAATTAATTGCAAAAATAAAGACAGTAAGTGAGTAGGCAAGGAGAAATGCCCCTTAAGAAAATTCTTCAAAGGGAGGAAGGCCTGAAGACCAATGAACATTTAAACACTTTCAGTTTAGGCCTATTTCATTGCACAAGATCCACGTTATCTATTAGCTATTGCATAATATATTCATTCAAAACATAGTGAGCTTTCTCACAGAACAGACCAAGACCCTGTTCTCTCCCCCACTTTTCTGTCTTTTGAATATGAACACGAGAATTTCACAGCTGATAACATTCTTCTGGAAACTCACACGGAAAATTGTGGAAAAGACTCGAGTTTGGATTACAGTGTTGTAAGTAACAGCAAATATCTCCACGTATTTAAATTCTTCATGCAGCGCTCTTTGTGAGATGTAAGCCACAGAACAAGTAGCTTTTGCAGGGCTTTGGAACTCTGGCCTCCAAACCGTAAACAAACAAACAAACAGATAAATAAATAAATCCCTCCATACCTTCAAAGCACATTTCTGGCCTGTCTCCTTGTTGAAACACTCCAGCACTTTGCCATTGATTCCCAACCCTAGCACCCGTTTGGAGAGTTTGTAGTCATCTGTAACTGCATGTTTTTTTATCTCTAGTTTGACATGGGCCGCTCCCCCAGGCAAGGATTTCACGCTGCTCTTGTTATCCACATGACTCTCTGGCTGGGACTCCTGTTCATCTTCACTTTGTTCCATATCAGGGGAGCGTCTGAGATGACGGAGATACCCAACAGATTCCCTGAGGTATCCTCAGCAGAGTCCCTCCTCTTAGGCGATCCAACAGTCCATTAGCTTGCCATTTAGTCCTGAGTGAAAACATGAGCGAGTATGAGTAATGGATGCGAACTCACCGTTCTCTCACCTAACCACTTCTCTCTCTTCCTTTCTTAACGAGATGACCAAAAGTGGAGGTTCACCTCAGAGAAGCACGCTTTGTTTAGCTCTGCACACCAGTCACCCCAGTTCCAACGTACACAGCTATCGGTCTGCAGGCCGCGTGCCTGCGCCTCATCCTGGACTACAGCCTCGGCTAAGGTCTGTACGACAGATCAGATACGGCCTCGGCTTCGAGGAGCTTAGAAACCTACACAAACAACTTCTTGCCTCAAGATTCTGTGTAGAAATTTCCACAAGGGTCCCTGGCTAAGGGAGTTAGGCCCGAGAGCCACAAGTAGCTGTGCAAACCCCGGAGGGTCGCTGCCTGGGCAGCCTTTGGACCTGATGCTGTGGCAGCGCGTTCCGAACTGCCCCATCCGAGGGCGGGTGGGCATTACGGGTGGGCATTACGCAGGGGACCGTCGAACCACCCGAAAACTCGGGTACGAGGAGCTGCAGCAGCGTGGCTCCCAAAGCCGAGGCGCTGCCCGAGCCCGCTGGGGTCCAGAGGGCACCTCAGGAGCGCAGCCCCGGGGGAGGCACCGGTACCGGTACCGCT